CCCACTATTCCTCTTGTGATTATTTCTATCAAGTACTTTTTTTGCTGCCTCGACAGCTTTTTGTTTTCCTTTTATGCAAATAAATAATTTCTTTATTTTCACTTTGAGTTTGGACTTTTTGGGATCTAACCTCCACCGAACATGGTAAATATGAAACTGTAGAGCTGTGAGTCAAACGTTGGAGCAGTTGTGCACACGCAGCTGACCCAAGAATACGAGTGCATGTGTGTCAGCAAAAATTCTGCCTCTTATGGGTGTGATTAAGGTTATAGTGTGGGAGAACCATGTCCTAAAGCTGTAATTAGGTTCTTACCACACAAAGACAAACTGATCTCTGCATAGGCTATGCTATTTACAAGTATTTTAATGAAAACTAACTAAAACTGATAGTGTTTCAATTCTTTTTATAAATCTGTGGATCAAGTATTGCTGTTAGGTCCTCTTCACACTGGATGACAGGCCTGCTGGATTTAAAAAAGCTGAAGTCTTCAGGTGTGTAAAGAGTGCTGTGGACTCTTCATTACCTGTGAAAGAGTGTGACGGTTCCACAAGGATGTTAACTGGCTTAAAACTTTCTAAGCAAGGTGGTTGTGGTTTATAATCATGGTGGCATGGTATAAGAGTGAATTTCATTGTGGTTGGATGAGAAGTATAAATATATACCAATCTGACACCCAATTGGTTTGTACGATCCATCACACCTGTACACAAATCACGTCCCACTCCAGCAGGACAAAGGAGACRTATGTGGTCTCGTATGAAGGTGAGCGTAAGCAGATATGAAACATTCAGAACTCTCAGAAATAGTCAGTCTTCCTKTACCACCATGAGCACGGCTGCAGCACACYGACAATCTTGATCTTGAACAAGGGTAGGAGCTGTGCGTGAGGAAAGGCGTGTTCATCGTGTGCATGAATGTAATTGACACAGGTAAGACAGTCCTCCTGTCTCTTATTGGCTGTTTCTGTTTGGAGGCGGTRTCTTTCTGCAAAAGGCTGTAGGAACCACTGGGAGGAGCCAGAGCATGGAGCTTTTAACAGACCACTAAGAGCAGCATCATAACTGGCCTCACATTAAAAAAGGGTTTTCCAACGTGTTGCAGTCCATCCACATTCTAATGAGTCATGTAGGTTTYGAAGAGTGTAGCAGGGTCGTGATCCAGTGTGAAGGGTGCCGTAGACTCATTATTTACCCCTTCGGCTCTGGAAGTTCCCATATCAGGACTAACAAAGACCCACTGCATTGCTGTGAAGACTGTTAGAACTTTACTGAACTAGAAATGAGCCAGAAGATAAATAACCTTGGTACATTTTAAAAAATTGTCCTTGATCTATTCTGTAAGAAAAATCCAAGTTTTTTTCACTTTGGACTTTCAGCTGTTGATTACTTTGTCAATATATTTTTAAATGATTTGATAAAAAAAAATAAAACTTTGTGTAGCTTACTGCAGCCAGGCTCCATGCCAGTCTGGTTTCCAGTGATGTGATGCCAGTAGGCAGATCGTGGTAGGATGGCGGTGGGTGTGCATGGGTAGGAGCTCGACTCTGAGCACTTAGACAGCAGCTGTGTGTCCAATGCAGAAAACACAAGGAAATTAAAAAATATATTTCATAACTACCAATGAATAAGGTTGTTTTCATTACCTAATAAGTATAAAATTGCAGTTATTAGGAGGCAGCAAAAAGATATTGATTGATTCTTTGAATGTGTATATCATTGGGCCTCATGCAAGAACATTTTCATATTTTTATCCTAAATTTGTCCCAGTTTTTTTCATACAAAGGGCTTGTATGAACAYGCCACGTCAGATTCAGCAAACGCTTTTATCTTCAGGAAAAGTGTATGAATGAGCAGCRTCAACACAATGAATGCCACCTGYACGTATTCAGGTGTTMGTGCACGAGGAGAGGAGATTAGCATAATTACCGCCCCAAAAACACCATATAAGGCYACGCTTCCCGCCCCACATACCAGGAAGTGTCCATTCATGAAAATGAGAGTGAAAAGTAAAAAGAAGAACTTCACGAGTTCAGAGATTGAAGTCCGTCTGTCAGAGATCCAGCAAAGAAAATCTGTCATTTTTAGCAGCATCAGCTGTGGAATTAAAGGACCTGCTAAAGCCAAGGAATGAAATGATGGCTGCTCTGGTCCTGCTCTGGTTTTCCTTTGGTCAAATATTTTTTAATTTAAGTTATGGGGAAGAAATTGGGAAACAACTATGTTAAATGATTTTCATTTATTCAGAAGAAGAGCAATTAGACACGGCACCACAGTCCGGACCATCTGATGTGCCAGTCCCCTGCCGTCTCCCATGCATGCAAGTGGTGTCAGATGCGGTTCTGAAGAATCAAGAAAATATTTAAAAAATGTTTCCAAAATATGTCTGGCACTTTGAAGAAAGCCAAGTGTGGAGCGGCCGGGATGAGGATCAGTGCCTGGAAATCCGAGACCATGGTCTTGAGCCGGTAAAGGGTAGCGTGCTGACTCCGGGTCAGGGAGGAGGTCCTGCCCCAAGTGGAGGAGTTTAAGTATCTCGGGGTCTTGTTCACGAATGAGGGAAGAATGGAGCGGGAGATCGGCAGGCGGATTGGTGCTGCGTCTGCAGTGATGCGGGCGTTGTACCGGTCTGTCGTGGTGAAGCGGGAGCTGAGCCAGAAGGCAAAGCTCTCGATTTACCGGTCGGTCTACATTCCTACCTTCATCTATGGTCAAGAGCTTTGGGTAGTGACCGAAAGAACGAGATCGTGGACACAAGCTGCTGAAATGAGTTTCCTCTGCAGGGTGTCTGGGCTCTCCCTTAGAGATAGGGTGAGGAGCTCAATCATCCGGGAGGGACTCAGAGTAGAGTCGCTGCTCCTCCACGTCAAGGGGAGCCAGTTGAGGTGGTTCAGGCTTCTGGTTAGAATGGCTCCTGGACGCCTCCCTGGTGAGGTGTTCCGGGCATGTTCCACTGGGAGGAGGCCCAGAAGAAGACCCAGGACACGCTGGAGGGACTATGTGTCTCAGCTGGCCTGGGAACACCTTGGGATTCCCCCGGATGAGCTGGACCAAGTGGCTGGGGAGATGGACGTCTGGGTCTCTCTGCTTAGGCTGCTGCCCCCGTGACCCGACCCCGGATAAGTGAAAGAAAATGGCTGCAAAAAATGGACTTTGGAGAAWATAGCAAAGCTGATGTGCTGAATAAATCTCAACAAAATAAAATTTGAAAAAAATATCCTAATCTGTGTCTGAATAAAGTTGTTGATTATTTTCACTTCCTGCTGACCTCATTATATACCAAGACAAATTAAACGTCAATTAATGCATAATTTAACTTGATTTGTAGTTTGAGATCTTCATATTAATATTGTAGTGCTATACAATACCTATTTAACAATACACAATTTAAATTTCATCGTTGGTCTACATTAACGCATGATTTATTTTCAACTGAAAATATCTTCAAACTAATGAAATATAGATTAAGTATAAGTTATTACTGAAGAAAATCAGTCTGGATAACAGCAGACTGACTGCACATAAAATATACCACAGGTCTGGACCACTTGTGGATTTTGTTTGTATATAAAAAAAATCTTACAATATGACAAAATTGGTAAATGCCATAAGTTTTCCTAAATCACTTGTACGCACAACTAAAGGACAAATCTGTTCATATGAATGGTTCTTGCATTAGGCCCAATGTTTTACTATTCAAGACCAAATTAAACACATTTTCAACTGTTGAAGAAAATCTTCATCTGTTCAATGCACAGCTGCTTTTGTCAAACATGGTGGTGATCTCACCCGGCTGTTCTTCTCCATCTCCAGCAAAACCTTTTTGTGCTGCTCAGCAATGGCCAGCGTGGAGGAGTGGACCCTCTGGTAGATCTGCTCTCCCTCCCTGGTCTGGAAGGTGTAGAGGCCTTCACCGCTGTCACACATCCTGCACACAACGACAGCTCCGTGTTCAGGTGGGATCCAACACAACATTGTCTCAGAAACTCTTCTGTAACTATTTAAGTGATTTAGTTTAAACAGGAATGAAGAGCTCACTTCTAATCTGAAATATTTTATATTGTTTTTATGGATAAGTCAAGCAGAAAAAAAAAAAACATCAACAGAAACCGTGTCTTTAGAAAGCATCCAGACCYATTTTGCTTTGCAGCTTTGTGTTGCAACACATCATATTAATTTTACCTTCAATTTCCATAAAAATGACAATTTACAATGAATGAGAAATTCAGATATTTTTGTGTTGGGYTAAGCCCTCAGTGTTTACACATTTTAACCACAACGTCTGCAGCATTAAATGATTGATACACTATCTACCTGTTTTATTATGTYTGACCTGCACACATGCTCTCTCTCTTTCTCACACACCATTATCTGCATGCTGGCAGCACCAAAGCTGGTGAGATTCCATTAGAGAATGAGAGATAATGGGGTCTGGCCCTGTCTCGATTCATTGATTAATCTTTTCACTGAAAACACTCATTCCAACCCATCAACGTGTTCAGTTCAGTTCAGGGTGGGAGTGAGAGACAGCAGGAGGTACTGTAGGCCTGGTCAGTGTTAGGATCATCTAAAAGGAAAATTCACTCTGAATGTTCATCTAAGCCTAATTTACTGTGTTTTAAGGTTTGTTTTGTTTGGTTTACTTTTACATTAAAATGTCTTCCTGTCATCTTAGGTTAGATTTTTCTTATGAAACTGTGAGTCACACCTGCAAACCAAATAAAAAACTTCTGAGACATACTGTGATGCTTTTTTCTTTACCTTTCAATGGTATTTCAATATTTTCCAGAGATGCCAGGATGTTTTATAAAATGTCACAAAAACTTGTGTCTGTCATTTCTGTCTGACCCATTCTTTTAGACAAGTGTAGAAAACAACACTATTTACATTGTCCTACCAACATCCCAAAATACTAATCTAGGATTTCATGCCAAAACACACAAAATGTCAACATGAGTAGTGTGGCTTACAATACGAAATAAATTCTCAATATAAAATAGCAGATGGCTGGAAACCAGAGTGGTTGACCTTCAAGCCCTCAGGTGACACCACATGAGTAATTGCCATRTCCACATGATCGATACATGGACTGGAGTTCCTTGAAAAAATATTGTCTTTAAACACTTACCAGACCGTTGCAGCTATTTTGATCAAAAAGGGGACACTCTTCCTAAAATGTGGTTTGGAGAAGATGAAATAAAGGAAAAGCCTTTAAAAAAATTTTAAATGTGCGATTATGTGATAATAGAACTCCTTTTCCTTTCAGTTATTTTGTTTATTTAGAGATCTGAAGAGGATGGGTGGATGATGGATGGATGGATGGATGGATGGATGGATGGATGGATGGATGGATGGATG